TATTTGCTGAGTTATTACAATAGGCACCTCTTCCCCTTAGCATCCTTCCTCAGCAAATGCAGTAGCTCTTTCAGGAAGCTTTCCCTGCCCTCAGGTGGCTCCTACAATTCCCTTGCACTCCCACTCTACTGCTCTACCGCCATTCTGTGTTGTCTCCCACGTGGGACTACCCCACTACCGTAGAGGATACTCAGAGCTCCACAGTACACCGCTGGGAGAGCAGGTATATTTGAGCTCGAAAAATCTTTACAAGTGACCGTTTTACTGTGACCAAATGAGCAGAGGTTTGGCGTGGGAAGGAAGGAGTGAAGGGCATTCCAGGCTGATTAACAACATGGTTGGTTTTTGATCCATTTGCTCATGTTTATTACTTCCTACCATGGGCCTGGCTCTTTGTTGGTGCAGGAGTAGACCACAGGTTTGTCTGAGCTGGGAGGCATGAGGGGATAGGGATAGAATGACAAGATGAGATGTCACAATAAGTAAAAAAAAAAAAAAAAACCTTCTGGAAATGGCTAAGGAACTGGATCTTTATCCTGAAAGCCAATAGAGGCCTCTGAAGGATTCCAGGCAGGGACATGCTGGAGTTGAATTTGATTCTAAGTGAGGAAGATCTCTGTGAAAGACACGGAGTGATTCCTTGGATATATCAAATGACAGGCTGCAATATGCTGTCTTTTGTGTAATAAAAAAAGGGAAAGAAAGTATGTATTTCTGCTCAGTTGTGCAAAAATAAGCATAGGAGGGGTAGACTAAAAGTTATCAGTAGTGGGTGGGAATAAAGTAGAAAGGAGCTGGGATGAGGACAGAGTGAAAGGAACACTGGAAAACAATGTCACTTTGTGTATACCTTCTTATATAATTATGACTTTTGGGGCTATACTAAACAAGAAATCATGGGAAGGGAGAAAGAGCTCTAAAGGCAAATTGAAACAGGAACAAATGGAGTGGGAATGAATAGACTTAAGTAACTTTTTGAAAATAGTATTTGGAGAAATGTGCTGTGGGCTGGAAACAAAAGAATTGTGAACAAGTCGAGAACTCAATTTTGTTCTTCACAGGAGTATAAACTAACAATTCTGAAGTGATTTCATGTATGTTTTAACATTGAGAAAATAATGATATTGTAGGCAATGAAGGAAAGTCTGTTGGAGAAGGTTTCAAAATCGGAATAGATGAAAGTCTTAAATTGACATTGTAATGTTAGAGATGAGTATGAATTCAGGGTGTTAACATGCACAGCTGGATGGATAGACTGATGGATAGCTAGGTAGTTGGAGGGACAGAGAGAGAGGCAACAAAGATGAAGTGAGTGCATGCATATTTGCTTATGTTCCCTAGCTCATTCCCTCATTGAATCTAAAAGTAAGGCACCACAGCAGGATACCTCATGTTCAAACCTTGCTTCAAATCTCCTTCTCCACTAAAAGGAATCAGGAGAAATGGCTGACCCAAAGACAAGGACTGAAGAAGTACCAAGTGAGCCTGAAACATTTTGTAATGGCAGGAAATATGAGTGTTCACAGAATGAAGGCTACGTGTCTACAGCCAAAAACTACCTTAAATGAGCTTCTACTAGTCAAACCTGGCATGATTTGAGATAATAATCCACTTAATAAAATACTAAACAATACTATACGTTAGTGAAATCTGCATTTATATGAAAAGGTTTTACTTTAATACAATCTATATTTATTTCTAGTATAGTTATAATCCCACATGAATATACCTATAAAGGAAAAGGAAAAGCTCTTCAAGACTCCCAACTAGTACGTACAGAAGGAATGATGTAATTAAAAACCTACTGTCTAAACAAGAATCCAGCAAGAATGATTAGTGTAGGCTAGACTAGTGGCTGGCATTTTGTTGAGTAATTACTAAATTGCAGCCATCAGAGGTAGGATAAATCAGATCGGGGAGGCTGGGACATAATCCTGGAGACCTTTCACTCCTGCTATTGGCTGATGGTGTAGGCCCTGTGGCTAAGTAATGACATTGTGACAGGCACTATGCTAGGTACAAGTTTGGTTTTTATTTCCCTATTTCTTGCATAAATTAACACCGATCTAGTGAGCTTTCTTTTTAGTACCTCTTTTGTAAGAGGAAGAAATCAAAGTTCAAGAAATTAAATGCTTGCTTAGGATCAAATGACTAACAAAAGGCAGAGCCCAGCTTCCAGCTCCCTACCTGCTGGCTTTGAGTTCAAGGTTGCTCTTTCATGCAGAAAGAGCAATCACTATGTCCTCTTCAAACTCCTTTGCTTCTGATGGTGTACAGAGTGATCAGGCCAGAGCAACTTCCTGAAACAAAAATACTATGCTTCCTTCTTTCTCCCTGACATCTTTTTCTGAACACTTAGCCTCGTTTCCCTCATCTGCAGAGCCACTTAACTACTATGGCTGTTAGGAGAACTATATTGGGTAATGTGGGTAAAGCTTCTAGCACAGTGTTTGCTAGATGGCAGCAGCCACCGTGGTAATAGTAACTGTAATGCTGAATTCCTGGGTATGATGGAAAATGTTTCTAAAGGACACCCCTTGCTTTTGGACTGGATTGATAATCAGGGACCAGGTCATTAAGTGCTTTGTATGGCGTGAATGGAAGATTACATCTTATACTGTAGAAACCACTGAAGAACTTCGTTACTGGTTGGCAATTCAGAGAGCAGATCAAGTATGGGAGAAAAAAAATCCCAAGATGAGGAGAGCAGCAGAGGAAGATGCTATGGATCACAGTTACCTAACGGTCTGGTGGCAGGGAATGGAAGGGGCACAGCAAAGATTTTATCCTTTTAGATTGGTCCTGGGATCTCAGGAGCTTATGCTGAGCCTGTCAGGGCATGACTAGAATACAAAGGAGGAGCAGATTGTGGAAACCACAGGGTGTTGGTTTGTGCTGGCTGGGAACATTCAAGGCAGTCCCAGAAGACAGTTGGATGTGCAGATATGGACTGAGGATTCTAAATACTCAAGGTCAGATGGAGGCCAGGGCTCAGGCCTGGAGCAACGTGCCGGGAAATGAGTGAAAGAGGGAGTCAGGGAAGGCACATGAGGAGGCAGGTAAGGATAGGATTGTGGACACATCAGTATTCACAGCTGGCAGAAGGGACTGAAGGAGTCTGAGGGGGAGCACTCAGCAAGAGCAGGGAGGTGTTTGCCATGGCAAAGGCTGCAGAGAGAGCAGCTGAATCAGAGCTGGACTGCGTGGTGCCTAGTGGCCAGAGCAGAAATAGGTGAATAAAGAGGTGAACTGGGCTTCTTAGGGAGAGAAAGTAGAACTTGAACACTCCCTGGGAGGCAGACAGCTCATTCCTTGGCCATCTGTTCCCACCCATGTCCTGAGTTCTGCCAGATGGAAGATCTTCTTTGCAAAACTAGAATGTTTTGCCTTCTAGCACCTTCCCTCAGCTCTCTGTCAGCCAGGCAGCCCACGTCAACCAAGGCTGTACTCTCCTCCTTGTAACTTAACCAAATGTGCCACCCCCTGGCCATCTAAATCCAATATGGCTCCAATACTCCAGGTTCCCAGAACTACCTTAGCAGGTGTCCAGAATGAATTCAGTTTTAATAAAACAACTTGTTGCTTGGCAACATCAGAACCTGTGTTTTCATTTGGTCTTCATGCTTCCTCCCGTTTAGGTCAATTGACTTTGTTTTCCAACTCTTTATTAACGTCAACTGCAAAATAAGAGACATTTTGCATTGGGTGGCATACACTTGCATATAACTGAAAGAAAAATTACATGCAACAATATTTACCCTTACTACAATGGATGCCCTCTAGCATTTTCAACCCCATTTTGTTCTGTTCTATTCTATTCTATTCTATTCTATTCTATTCTATTCTATTCTATTCTATTCTATTCTATTCTATTCTATTCTATTCTATTCTATTCCATTCCATTCCATTCCATTCCATTGTTTTAAATGCTGGTGCTAACACATTACATTCATTTAACATTCTGCAAAATGAATTTGACGACCAAAGGTATGAAACACTCCTGCTAGGAAAGGCTCAAAGGGGAAGACGCTGTGCAGGTGTTTGTGTGACTTTCCCCCCCCCCCCCGCCCCCCCCGCTCCTTCCATTCCCTCAGGCTATCCCATGCCTCTCTGCCTGCCAATCTAACTGGTTTTTATGGTTCTGAGGAGACAGAGAACCAGTGGCTTCAGTCACTAGATGTCAGCCAGCCTAGGAAGTCACTGAGTCTCCCAGATGGTTTGCCGGAGGAAGTTAAGCAGGTATCATGGTGGAGTTTATAAGCCAGTGGAGGGCAGACTAGTCCACCTTTCAAGTTATTCCACATAAGCTACAGTGCCTCAAATCTCTCCTGAGGCTGCCAAGAGCCTAAGGCTGCAAGGATGCCTTTAGAGAATCCTGATGACAGTTCTGGTGAGATACTTGAAAATCCTAAATGGGATAGCTCCGTGCCAGCATTCCATGTGGGATCTGGTTCAAGCCCTGGCTAATGCAGTTCTCATCCAGCTCCCTGTGGAGACAGAGGAAGAACCCATGTGGGAGACTTGGAGGAAACTCCTGGTTCCTGGTCTTGACTCCTGGCTTCAGTTTGGCCTAACCTTGGCCATTGTGGCCATTTGGGGAGTGAAACAACATACAAAAGGTTCTCTCGGTCTCATCCATACATCCTCTGTCGACACTGCCTTACATCACAATGAATGAATAAATAATACATAAATTTTAAAAACTTAAAAAGCCAATCCCCAGGGCTCAGGAGTGCAGCCTGCGTGTGCACGCAGACCAGGGTCAGCCACCCAAACCCCAATCCAGCTAACAACTGGACTTCACTGCTCTCATTGTTCTGGTTGCCTCCTTCAGACCTGGCTGGGAGGCAGAGGCACTCTTCCCTCGCAGCCCATTGAACTATTACTCCCTGAACGTCTTGCTGTAGAGAACATGGGTTGATTTTTTAAAAAATTCTGCTTACAGTGTCTTTTCTGCTTTTTCCCTAGGAAGACTCAGGATTTCCGGATCTTCCTAACCACAGAAAGGAAAATGTTGCCTGAGGAATAGACCAAGTGTGTACTCACCTGTTGCTGCCAAGGACTTGTGGGGGCTCTGAGAAATCTCCTGACAGTGTAGCCACTGTATATTTGCAATGAGCCAGAGCCTAGTCTGGGCTTCCCCGTGATAAACAGAACTCCAGCCCTGGCCGAGGCTTTCAGCCCCTAACCAAGTGCAAATATGAGTGAAGAACTGTGGGTCTCTCTCACTGCAGAAGAATTTGACCAGCTCCAGAAGTACTCTGAGTGTAAGTAAGCAGACCAACAGCCCTGGGATAGTATTTCCCCCTTGCCCAGGAAATGGCTTCCGGAGGTCGGTACAGTATCATCACTGCAAAGCCATGGGGACAACGGTGAACCTCCTGGCTTCTATTGAAACACAAAATCAGTGTCTTTAAAGTAAAAGAATCATTATTGTCAGGCTCTATAGGCAGCACCTGCTCACCATAGAAGTTTGGAATATAATGTCCTTGAAAAGAACTAGAATAGTTTAGAAATCACCAGTTAACTCTGCGGCACAGCTCTTCTGTGCACCTTACTTTACAGGTGACATTTGCACTGGGTGCAGCTTTTTATGTTTACTTTGTTTAGCTAACATGATCATAAGTGTTTTGCTCTTTTTTTCCCAGCATTCATACAACTTTACTTTTCAGATAGATTTTATGGCAAGAAAGCTATATATCTACCATTTTTAGAAGATTGGCTAAGGTAAAGTCTGCACATTCTTTTTTTTTTAAAGATTTATTTTTATTATTTTTTCATTGGAAAGGCGGATATACAGAGAGGAGAGACAGAGAGGAAGATCTTCCGTCCGATGATTCACTCCCCAAGTGAGCGCAACGGGCCGATACTATGCCAATCCGAAGCCAGGAGCCTCTTCCGGGTCTCCCACGCGGGTGCAGGTTCCCAAAGCTTTGGGCCGTCCTCGACTGCCTTCCCAGGCCACAGGCAGGGAGCTGGAAGGGAAGTGGGGCTGCCGGGATTAGAACCGGCGCCCATATGGGATCCCGGGCGTGCAAGGCGAGGACCTTTAACCACTTGCGCCACCGCGCCGGGCCCCAAGTCTGCACTTTCTAATAATTCTTGGATCAGTCAAAGCACCTTAAACCATGTGTTAGGAGTTTCTTCGGATCTACTGTGTTTTGTGAAACAGTCAACAGACTGTTGTCTCCACAGGCTACTGTAAGTGTGCTTGATGCCCTTAACTTCATATTGGTCAAGGATGCCTTTCTTCACATACACATCAGCTTGGTAGTATTTTACTCCTAATAACAGAATGTTGAAGAGCTGCAGCCCATGTGGTTAGAATATTGCTTAATTCTATTCACTGCAATAAGGCCTACAATGTGTCCGCCCTCCAGTTGCTGTTGTGCGGGGCAGTCTCCTAGGAGCCTACCACTGGCCTGGGAGAATGGACATCTGGCTCAAGTGCACACTCTGCCTCTTGCTGCTGTCTGTGATGTGACAGCCCTTGCATCCCTGAACCCCACCCCTCTACAGTGTAGTGGGAGCTTTGGTCTCTTCAGGCCCTGATGTCCTCTGACCCTATTGCTGCTTAAGACCAATGGATGATACATTTGTTACCTAGGGTAACTGTTACTTGTCAGCTTCTTTCCCAACACCCTGGAGCTGTGCCCTCTTGTCTGATCTGGATGGTTTACAGAACCTCTATAATATATTGACAAAGAGCAGGCAATCGTCCTCCTGGGCAAATTCAATTTCATTCAGTCTGCTCTGTAGGTCTGCAAAATACCAAGTCCTGTCAGGAATGAAGTACAAAGACAAGACCTATGCTTGAGGGATCAGAATCTCCTTGGGGACCAGGAATGTGCTTATGACATCTGAGCACAGCGGGAAGGCAGCAGATATGTAACTTCAGTGGCGTGAACCAACCTGAGCACATCGATGAGAAGGGAGGGCATGCCAGCAGAATGTGGTGCTTCCTTAGGCTGCAAGCACACTGCTGTGGCATGCATGGACTCAGCCACATACCTGTTGCCTCAGACTTTGGGAGATGAGAAGTCTCAAATCAAGGGGTCACAGGGCTGCCACTTTATGAGGACTGTGAAGGAAGCCTTATCCCTCCTTGGCTTGCAGAGGATCAGGTGTGTGTCCTGGAGTGTGTGCCTGTGTCTAAATGCCTCCTTTTCCCAAGGACACAGTGTTAGCTTGGACCCATCCTACTCTAGCGTGGCCTCGTCTTGACCAGTTACATCTTAGTAACTCTGTGTGAGGTCATACCCTGAAGTCCTGGTGTAAGGACTTCAACATATGAATTTAACAGAGAGGAGACACTATTGAAGCTGTAACAAAAGACTGAGATCTTTCCTAATGCATCTGGGAAAGCAACGAAGGATGGTGCAAGTGCTCAGGTCCATGCTACTGACCCGAGAAACCCAGGTAAAGCTCTGGGCTTCAGCCTGGCCCAACCTGAGCTATTGCAGCCATTTGGGGAGTGGATCAGCAAATGAAAGACCTCTGTCTCTAGATCTAGCTCTGCTTTTCAAATAAATAAATATTTCAAAATAAAATGTAGGTATTAAATAGGGAGTGAGAAATGGAAGAAAAAGCAGGAGCCATGGGGAAAGGGTGGAAAGGACAGCTCCTGAGCTGGATGCAGAGGAGGGTCAAGGAAAAAGAGAGGCAAGGGAGGAAGTAGGACGGATGGAGGGTACAGGAAGCCTTGGGCCAGCAAGTTCAAAATGTGGGCCTAGGGCCAAGGTGGCAAAATGTAGAGCCACTGATCTGTGCAGTATAATTGGATCAAGCAGGGTTCTTTGGGTGAGATCTAGTCTGAGCCCAGGAATGTGGAATGTAGCAATGAACAGATGCTAATTTGTGGAAATTGTGGTGGATGTCTCAGCAAAACTGATAGAACAAAGGGGAACCATTCAAGATATTTCAAGGACTAAATCTGTACAAAACAAGTGACATTTGGATGCAGGGCTGGTGGGCCCCACTTGGGAAGGTTGATTTTGAGATAATGATGACAACTCCACTGACGCATTCACAGGCATCGGCCATCAGAAAGCCAGGAATGAATAAGACACAGCTCCCATCCCCAGAGAGCTCATAGCCTGGAATGGGGAAAAGATAAACACGATTCAAACAGTGAGGGAGCAGGCATGGCCCTACTTAAGAAGTGGGGAGCTTGGGGCAAGGTCTCACTCTCCATGGTGGGAGACTGTGCAATGCACCTGCCACTGGGAAGGGGTATTCTTGGACTCCAAAATGGGGTATTCCAAGCCTTGGAAGAAGCTTGAACATGTGCAGGGACGTAAGAAAGACTGCGTGGGAGGTGCCAAGAACCACAAGCAGTTCACAGGTGGGGAGCTTAGAGCATGCCTCGGTGCCAGGTAGGGGTTAGGGGTGGGAGTCGAGGAAGCAGTGGTGAGCCCAATAGAACCCCTTTCCATTATGGAAGTTCTGCTTGCTAAGGAATGTGTCTGGGGGGCCCAGGAATGGATGAAGTAGGGATTGAATGGCAATTAGTAAGAGGTTAGACTACAGCTCTGACTTAGGAATCCTGTGTGACTCAGCAGGCCAAAAAAAGTGGTAAGAATGGAGAGAGCAGAAATGTCAGAAGAGAGGGGAGGACGTTGAATGAGGCTCTCTGGGACGCCCGCAGTGGGCACTCGGGGTGGGTAAAGGAGGCAGAAGAAGACACTGAGGAGGAGTTGGAGAACCAGGAGAGTCCAGGATGCTACAGGGAGCAGAGGGAAATGTAGCACAGGCTTCCCAGAGGGCGGGGTGGGGAGACTCAAAAGGTGCTGTCTGTGGGCTTTCCTGTGGTCTGGGTCTTTTCTTTACCTGCCATGCTGTCCTCCTCTTGTCCCTGCCCAGGGCTAGATGGGGCGCTCTGGTACTGCTGTTCCCACGGGAGAGCAGGAGAGATCATGATTCTTGGAACATGACTCATCCTCAGAGGAAACCCTGAGAAAGCCCCTAACACCAATTTGAGATGCATTCTGGTATTCAGTCAGCTTGCATTGCCATGGCAACTGCTCTTCCATAACTGCATAAACAGGAGTTTTACAATAGAGAAATAATGAAGTGTGCAGCCTAAGAATAGACAACTTCTACCAATGGGGCTTCCAAATAGGAAAGGCTCCACTGTGCCTGGATCCACCGGGCACTATCAGAACCTTCTAGATGACGTGCTCTATGGAAGGAGAGTCATCTGAAAGCTGCGGTCAGAGGTATATACATTTATTTTCCACAATCCTGTGTGCCTGTACACACCCATGTCCTTTGAAGTTCCCTCATGAAGTCAATTATGTCTTCTGAATTAACAATGTAAACTGCTTGTCAAAAAAGACAAATCTACGTCAAGATATTTATATAATACAATAACAACATTCTGAAAACCAGAGAGGTGAGACTTGAATGTGTCTAGGGTATTATTTCCCAGCAATAATCCCTAACTACTATATTTGAGTACAATGTAGGTATCAAAAGAAATACTAAAATATGTATGTACAAGTCTTTGAAATAGTTTGTGGAAAATGATGAAAAGGTTGTCCTAAGGAAGCAGTGCTTGGTGCAGCAGTTCAGGTTCTGCTTGGCAGCAGAAGATGACCGAAATCCTTCAACCAGGAGATAGAGTTCCAGGCCCCTGGCCCTGGTCAGTTCCACCCCTGGCTGTTGGGGAATAAAGCAGCAGATGCACGATCTCTTCTGTGCATGTGTCTCTCCACCTCTTTCTGTAACTCTGCCTTTAAAATGAATGAATGAATGAATGAATCTTAAAAACTGGATGCTGCTTCAGATGTCCGTAAGCATATTGGAGCACCTGGGTTTGAGTTCTAACTTTGCCTTCCATTAAGCTTCCAGCTAATCTATACCCTGGAAAGCTGCAGATGATGGATGAAGTGCTTGGGCATTTGCCACCCATGTGGATGGAGTTCCTGGCTCCTGGCTTCAGCCTGAAGAGCCCAGGTTATCGTGGCTACTTGGGGAATGAACCAGTGGATGCAAGATCTCTCACTGTCTCTTTCACTATCTCTGTCTCACTGCCTTTCAAATACAATGAAAGTAAATGGAAATACTTTTTTAAAGACACTTATGTTTATTTTCTTTTTAAAATTTAACTTCTGCTTCTTCTTATTATTATTATCATTTTATGGTACAGTTCCATAGGCCCTGGGATTTCCCTTATCCCCTATCTAGTTCCCACCCCTCCCACTGAGTTCCCCTATATCATTACTATAGTATAGTTCTTCATAAACAGCCGTATATCCATCATTGT